CGCTTAACTTGGTCAAGAAACCCGAGATCGTCGACACTCTGTTCGGCAGTCTCACGCTGGACCGAGCACAGGAGCTGCTTGCACAAGCGAGACAAGATAATGCCATCAAACAGGCCACCGTCGAGAGGCTCGAGCGACCATCAAGAAACGGCAAGCATCAAGCATGCGATGAATGGAATGGCAAGACTGGCTCATTGGAATGGCTTGTTGATGTCAATAAAGGCTGAAGTGGCGAGCCAAGGGTACTGCATGGCGGAAAAGGGGACCTGGGGTTTATTGGCTGTTGTATCAGTCTTGGAGTAGCTGTTGTTGTTGTTGTTGCAGTCTTGGTGGATGAGCGTGCCATCTTGTGTGGCTTGGTTGGTGGTGGATGAGAGCATGAGAAGAATGGAGACGAACAGATCGCGCTTTGCAGACGCATCACAAAGCAGATCAGAAGAGGGCAAGAGGAGCGAGCAGAGCAGCAACGACCGACACGACCGAGGCAGCCATGGCAGCAGCACCGCTGAGGATGGGCTCGTCATCAGCGCCAGGCTGTTGGTGCTTGGTGTAGATCTCGCCAGCAGGCTGGTCGCCAGTGCCGTAGATGGAGGCACCGCCAGAGGGCGAGGGCGACGGAGCGGCGGATGACTGGCCGTACACGGCAGCAGCGGTCGTCGTGGCACCAGGAACAACAACGACAGGAGGGACGGTGGTCGTGATGACCACAGCGGCAGACGCGGTCGTGGTGGTCGAGACAGCAGACGCGGCAGGCACGGTCGACGAAGCAGGAACAGCAGGCACGGTTGTGGTGGTCTTGGCATCAGGCGCAGCCGTGGAGGCAGACGCGGTCGTCGAGACGGCCTTGGCTGTGGTCGCGATCGTAGTAGTGGTCGTAGGAACAAGCGTGGTAGTAGGAACAATCGTGGTGGTGGGAGCCACAGTCGTCGTTGTGGTGGTCGTAGTCTTGGCAGGCACGGTGGTGGTTGTCGTCGTGGTAGCCTTGGTAGTCGTCGTCGTCGTCGTCGTCGTCGTCGTCGTCGTCATGGTTGTAGTGGTCGTCGGCACAGGGCCTTCAACAACAACGATGAATGCATGTTAGATGCTGCACAGGTCCACAACACGTGCCAACATCCAGCATTGCAACTCACACTTGGTCTCGATCTCGCAGTTGCTGCCCTTGTGTCCATCCGGGATACAGACCTTCGTTCCAACAGCACCACTGCACTGAAAATCGGGATTGGTCAAGTCCGGAAGCGGGCCAGTCAGGTCGCCGTTGTTGTAAAAGTAACTGTAGGATAGGAAGACCAAGAGATGATGGTAGCCAGAGCATGTCAGTCAATCGCGCGTTTGAATGGCGATGATCAAAATGACCATGACGCACAAGATTCTAAGATCCTTCAAGTTGCTGATCCATGATGGAATCGTGCCGTTGAAGGTGTTGCCGTGGATAAAGCTGTCCTCGGCAGTAATGTCAGCACTGCAAGTCACTGCGCAGTTCGAGCGCAAACATGCAAGTCTGTGACTTACAATTCCCTAAGCTTGGTCAGCTTCTCAAGACTGCGAGGGATCTCACCACCAACGCCAGCGCCAAAGAGGTTCCTTCAGCAGAGTATCATTGAACGTCGAAGATGTGTGCATGCCACGAATGGAAGTCGATGGATTCGCGAGAGACAAGTGGCAATGTGCACGTGTCAACAAGAGATAACGGTCATTGGAAACAGGCATAAACCCAGCACACGCAGCAACTTACAGACGCTGAAGATTTGGCAGGTTGCTAATTGACGATGGGATGGGGATTCCTCCAAACTTGTTGCCCTCAACCTCACTTTGAAGTTTGGGGAAGAGCAAGACAGAGATGCATGTCAGCACGATCGCAAAGCAAGTGCAATGGGAAACCAGCACGTCACATACAGCCTCACGAGTTCAGTCATATTGGCAAAGACGTTGTCAGCGATCGAGGTGTAGCCATTGTTTCGAAGATCGCTGTACAGAGTGGTTCATGGCATAAGCAGGGCTTGAATGGTTAGCAATGATGACGAACGTGACTTGCAGGCAGCGGTGCTTACATGGACGTCAGGCCAGTCAGGGAAGCGATGTTTGGGAATGAGTTGTCAACCGTCTTTCCAGCATCGTAAAACATGCCACTATAGTTGTGAACGAGTTTGGTTGTCGCGGGCGATGGCGTCGCCAAGCCAAGGAGTGCGGTGGACAAGGGGCCGATGACGACGACGGCGACAAGATCGATGCCGATGTGGAACGCAGCGAGGAGAGCAGAGGCAGGCCAAGGAGTGATGTCAGTTTGCTGGATGCGCTACATGGCACAGTGATGAAGGGGAGAGCAGCGGCGTACATGGAGGTCACACGAGTATCACTGCAGCCGGCATATCCACTGCAGCAGCTCTCGGCGGTGGGAAACTTGTCTGGCCAGATGTTCCGCAGAACAGCGCAGTCTTGCTGGAGAAGCGTGAGGTTGGACATGATGCCGAGGGGATCCTTGGTTCGCTTGATGTGGATGGTGAGGGAAAGCGAGGGGGAGCCGTCCGCTTTTTGAAGAGAAACGCCGCTGCCCATCTGTGCTCATCGATGGTCCACTGCCTTTGGTCAAGTGAACGGGTCGCAGGCAAATTGCACGGCCTTTGTTTGTAAAATGCCCAAAAATGGCAAAATTGGATGAGGCGGACGGCAGGCAGAGCGCACGCACATGGGTGTTGGTGTGCTGGCGCCGGGCGACTCCTGTCAGTGGCAGCCGGCGTTCCTGAGCAGAGTTGCTCAAAGTTGACCCCATGAACGGGCTCAGGGGACACGTGCACACTTTGTTGTTAGAGAGTGCCAACACCTTGCCAAGGTGGCGTTACGCCTTCAGCGAGTCATGCCATGGACTGCAGGCCAAGGTGCCTGACAGCCAACTTGCCAAGTCGCCAAGCGAGCAAGCGAGCAAGTGGCAGGCTGTCCGTGTGCAGAAACCAGCCACCATGCCAGCAAGCATCGCATCGCATGGCATCATGTAGCGATGGCGGCGGTGGCGGCGATGGCAATCCAGACTTGCTATGCACTGCCCTCTGTCGACACATACGGGCTGTTCTCGCTGGCAGAGTACTCTGCTTCAGATGGATAGAGTCGCTTGGTGGCATGCAGCTGCCAGTGGCGGCCAGTGTAGAAGCGCAAGCATCAGCGACTGCGAGCCTTCTCAGCGTCGCAGATCAAGAGCAGTTCTTGTCCTCACAACCACAAAGCGAGCAAGCGGCTGTGACGATGCAGACACAGCCACAAACGTCAGACAACGCAGCCAGCGACGAGCAGTCGGCCGTGGTCGAGCAGGCCGTTGGAGCGAGTGGCAGCCAAGCCGTCGAGCCAGGACAGCCAGGACAGCCATCAGCAGCAGCAACCGCACAGCCAGGTGTGCCTCGCTATGTGGTGCCGCCAGCCGCCGGCGACCTTGCGTACGGACGCAGCCACTGGGACGGCAAGCCGGCCGAGATCCACGCCTTGATCCTCAAGCACGCCAGCCCGCTCACTCGCTTCCTGTGCGGCCTGCTCGGCGACACGGCAACACTCGACGAAGCGACCAAGCTGGAGCTGTGGATCGAAGCGTTCAAGACGGACTGGCAGGGCGATCTGGCGCTGCTGCCCGACGTTTGGCTGACGGCGGACAACGGACTGCTGCTCGCACACTCTCGCTCCATGTACGCCGTCTCTGCAAGCGCTTTCCCGACTACACCGAGCCCTCCTGTGCGAGAAGCGACGCATACGACAACGACTATATATTGTTCCACGTTGCTCATTATAACAGCCGCCGGCTGATGCTCATTCCCATGCGGCACGGCTGGTTCGATCTGGTCGACTTTACGTATCCGATCACACTGTCTCGCATGGCCATCCGCTTTGGATGTCTCGATCTACTCAAGCATCTCGACGACGAGTACAACATTCTTCAAGACGGGATGGCTGAGCAAGATCCGACAAGCAAGTACTGGCACAGAGCAGTTGAAGAGGCAGCGGCAATGGACACCTCGATGTCGTGCAGTACCTGTTTGATCTCGGTGTGACGGGATGCACGACTCGCGCCATGGACGACGCGGCCGGCAACGGCCACCTGCATGTCGTCAAGTGGCTCCACGAGAACACGACGGCAGGATGCACGACAAAGGCGATGGACCGAGCGGCTGGCAACGGCCATCTGCATGTCGTCAAGTGGCTCCACGAGAACACGACGGCAGGATGCACGAAAGCTGCGATGGATGGCTCGGCTTACTACGGCCATCTGCATGTCGTCAAGTGGCTACACGAGAACAGAACAGAGGGATTCACGCATCAGGCAATGGATTATGCTGCAGAGTCTGGGCATCTTCACATTGTCAAGTGGTTGCACGAGATCTGCGGCGAAGAGTGTACGCCCCGCGCAGTGGATGCCGCCATCAGCTCGGAACATGTGGACGTTGTCAAGTACCTGCACTCGAAAGGCGGCCGCGCATCAAGCGATGTTGTCAGGAGGGCAGCAATCTTTGGCAATGCCAGGATGCTGCCGTACTTGTTGGATCTCGGATACGCCGTCGAACTCGAGGCACTCGACCAGGCCAAGACTGCTGCCATTGCTGATATCTTGCTTGGCAGTCTCACGCTGGACCAAGCACAGGAGCTGCTTGCACAAGCGAGACAAGATAATGCCATCAAACAGGCCACCGTCGAGAGGCTCGAGTTGACCATCAAGAAACTGCAAGTGTCAAGCGACTGATGAATGGATGGCAAGGCTGGCTGTTGGAATGAAGAAGTGATTGTCGTGTCTGTGCGTGGATCCCTCAGTTATGTCATCCCGCTGGTCCGACACGTAATGGCTTCATCTGGCGAGTGGACACACATCTCCAGGTGCATTGACTTGCTGCCGGTCACCATTGAGCCAGGAATCGGATCAAATGGGGCAGAGAGCGCACGGAGAAGAGCAACGCAGCGCAAAATGGAACACATAGCCAGAATGTGGCAAAAGAGGAGTGCAGCTGCTCACGGACAAAAGCAAAAGAGGATGCCCCCTCGGTGGATTGAACACCGGACATTTAGATCTTCAGTCTAACGCTCTCCCAGCTGAGCTAAGGAGGCTTCCTTGTCAAATTTTCGGCCAGTAACAATATATACATTATCTACACAGCCAGGCTCAAATCAACGATTTTGCATGCTTGACACTTCACAGCCAAGATGGTGCGTGTGGCATGCACGGCATCTGCCAGCGACTACAACGCCTGCCTGTCTGAATACATTCTCTGTCATTTTGGCCAATGCAACTGCCAGCGCACAGATCTGCTTGCCCCAAAGGCACATCCAGACTTGAACTAATCCAGGCAGACCTCTCCAGCCTGTGGCATGATCAGCGCTCTCACTCGTTCCTTCTGCTGCCACAACGACAAGGCTCGCCTTGGTGACTTGCAACCTCCCTGGGATTTATTTGCCAACGTGACTGGCGGATTGGAATTCCTGGACATCAAAAAAGTCCACATGCGCGCCGTTCTCGTACTCGTCACTCTCAAGCAGCGAGATGAGCACCTTGGCCGAATCGTTTGGATCCACGAGGCGCCCTTCACGGTGCATGCTCACATACACCTGTCTGAGCGGAATGTCGGGCATCTCGCTTCGGATGCGTGCCTGCATGTCCGTGTCCATGGGGCCAGGAGCGTAGTTGAGCACGCGCACGCGGCCCGATTTGGGAGCAGACTCTTCTGCCGAGGCGCTTGCAGGGCCGGGGCTTGCAGCACCACCGCTTGTGATGCTGATACCGCCCGGACTGCTGCCACCGCCACCACCGCTGCCATTGTTGTTGGGCTGGCTGTTGTCGCTGCTGGTGCGGGCAGCAGAGCCGGAACTGCGCGTCGCGTTGAAGCCAGGCAGCGTCTCTTCGGTCTCGATGCTCGCCTCTTCAATGGCAATCACTCTGTGCAGCATGTCGCGAGCAGCCTTGCCTGCCGAGTACACGCCCCACGAGTCGAACGGCTGGATGCTGCCAAGCGGGGAGGTGAGCGAGGGTCCACATGCGAGAGCCAGGCAGTCGGCGACAACGACTGGCCCGATCTGCTGCCAGGCCGACAGCAGGACGGTCGATCTGCATGCAGGGCACTTACGCGGCGAGCGACGACACGTTGACAAGCACCGTCTTTTGCGACTCTGAGCCAAAGCGTCTGAGAAAGGCGGCGGTGAGCAGCATGGGGGCCGTGACGTTGATCTCGATGGCGTGGCGCACGTCGGCCAGCGACTGGTCTCTGATGCGCGCCAGCTTGCCGAGCGAGCCCGCGTTGTTGAACAGATGGACGGCGCCGTACGCCGAGGGAGGGTGCGGCACGGTGCGGCTGACGATAAAGTCGCAGACGGTGTCGAGGTTGGCGGACAGAAAGTCGACGGCGCAGGTGTGGATGGCCAGCTGGTGGCGGGTGGAGACGTCGGCCTCGTTGAACGTCTGGCGGGAGGGTGCGCGGGGTCAGTGGATGCAGTGGATGCAGACGACGCAGTGGTTGCAGACGACGCAGTGGACGCAGTGGACGCACCGCCTCGACGGCCAGCTTGGTGTCGTTGAGGTCCGCGACCGAGCGCGCCGTGATGACCACGTCCGAGGGCTGGGCGGTCACCAGCGGCGAGTCGGCCAGCGCCAGTGCGATGCTCTTGCCAAACCCACGCGAGGCGCCCGTGATGATGAACAGCGAGCGCTGCATCGTGAGCGTTGTTGTTGTGGTGGTTGTTGGCGTAAGGTTGGGTTAAGGTGGCTTCAGATGGCTGTTTGCCCGTCGTTGGCGAACGCAGATTCGCAATGATTGCCAGCGAGAGGTGCGTGTTGGCGGGCGTGTTGGCCGGCTGGCGGGCTGCTCGGCAAGCGAGTGCGGCAGTCTAACGATAGCGCCTGGCACCGCACAGAGACGCAGCAGCGCCAGTGGCGCCATCAAAGACGGCAGCAACCACAGCAGCAGCAGCAACAGCAGCAACAGCAGCAACAGCAGCAGCAGCGCAGCCCGACACCGTCGATGTTGGCGACGACGTCCACACACACGAGCGTCTGCGGGCGCTGGCCAAGAGCGCAACCGACGACATTGACGACCTTGGCGACGGCGACGACGGCGACGACGAGGACGAGGACGACATTCTGCGGCAGCTTGAGGAGGAGGACGACGACCACCTGCTGTCCAGCCTGCGCGAGCGGCGCATGGAGGAGCTCAAGGCTGCGTATGTCTGCGTCTTGCCTGGCTGATGCGTGGCTGTCTGGGCTGACGGGCGGAGATGACACGGACGCACAGATTCAACAAGCGGCAGCAGATGGAGCGGTCCAACCACGGGCGCTACGACACGATCCGCAGCGAGAAGGAGATTCTGGCCATGACGACGTCGACCGAGAAGAAGTGCGTCGTGCATTTCTGCCACAAGGACTTTCGGCGATGCCAGATCATGGACAGGCACCTGGAGGTGTGTCTTGCTGGGCACTGCCGCGCGATTGGACACATTGGTGCTCACACGCTCGTGGCCGCAACCCAACAGGCGCTTGCCAAACGCCACTACGGAACACGGTTTGTCAGGATTGACGTCGAGGACGCGCCGTTCCTTGTCGACCGTCTCAAGATCCAGATCCTGCCGTGCATCATCTCGTTTATAGACGGCGTCTCTGTCGACAGGTGCGCCAGCGTCTGCTGCACCTGGCTCGTGCGTCTGCTGCTCTTGACTGACACCCAGCTGTGGCCGCAGAGTGATTGGCTTTGACGGCATTGCAGGCGGCGACCGCGACGACTTTACCACGGCGGCGCTGGAGCAGCGCATTGCGAGCGGGTCCAAGGTCATCACGATGCCCACCGAGACAACGTCGCAGAAGAACGCACGCCGGTCCACCATCTACGGCTTTGCCGATGCTGGCAAGGGTGCGGCCGGTGCCGGCGACGACAGCGACGACGACTACTGAGTGGAATGAACGCCTGGCTCTCATGCGATGACTTGCCCCTCTGACTCGCCGTTGTCTGGGCACGCGCCACCAATTGTTTCACAAATTTTCAAGCTTTTTGGTTGCCCAGAATATTGCGGTAGTTGCACCAATAGTTAGAAATGCACGCTGCGGCCAGCCTTGCTGCCCTTGCCCTCTCTGCCCTGCTGCCAGCGGTCGCTGCCCAAGGTACGTCGACGACCGCCCGCCTTCCGTCTGCCCGTGCTGCCCTCGTCTGCGCGGGTGCTGCAGATATGCCCGCAGCCGGTGGTTGGCGTTCAAGCAGGAGCAGCCGTGGTGGTGCACAGCGACGGCTTGGACAACCGCAGCAACAACCGCTTCGACCGCAGCAACGACCGCAGCAACGGCCGGCACCATGGTTTTGGCCACGGCCCAAGCCTTGCGTCGCCAGCCAGACTGGGGTGGCACATTGCCCGTCTGTCCATGGCTGCCGTCCTGCCGCACCACGACTGCCCCTGCTCCCCACCTGGCCGCCAGCACCACCCACCGCCAGCCTTGACGGCTTCAGCCCCATCTGTGCACAACCCGTGTGCGGCAGCGGCGGCGGCGGCGGCCGGCTTCCGCATTTGAGCCAACAAACACTAATCCGCGCTGTCGAACGCCACCAACATCACCAGCGGGCACAGGCTCGCTCACGTTCAGCAACGGAGGCAACTGGCCTGCTGGAACGCGCCAGACCGTCACTCTGACCATCACGGGCCAGCGCTTCGCCAAGAACCTTGTCGTGCGGCAAATGGAGCTGCTCCCTGGCAACAACCCCCGCATCACCTTCTGCAGAGACACCTACGCCAGGTCTCAAACAACAATCTCTTGCGATGTCGTGATCCCCCCCAACTACGTCCCGATCGACTCGGCGCAGATCGAGGCCACCTGGGCCGATTGTCGCGACCCGTTCCTTGGCATCGGTGGCCCGATCGGCTGCTCGGACGAGGGCCGCTTCATGTCGCCCACTGGCCAGCTGCGCATCTTGGCGCGTGACGGCACTGCTACCACGGTTGCTGCTGCAACGTCCACCGTGGCCGCTACCACTTCAACGGTTGCCCCGACCACTTCTCCGACGCGCACCGTTGCATCGGCCACCACAACCGCAACCGAGTCGGCTGCTGCGACCGAAACGTCGTCTGCCCAACCGGCCACCTCTGGCACGTCCAGCTCGACTGCCCTCATTATTGGTGGCATTTTCGGTGGTATTGCTGTGCTCATGCTCGTCGCATACAGCATCTGGCACTTCCAGCGCAGAACCGAGCGCGGCGGCAACGACACTCTGATGACCAAGGAGGAGATTGCCGCCTCCCAGGCCGGCGCGCCGCGTCCGTTTATCAGCAACCGTCCCACGGGCCCTGCTCCTCTCGATCCCTCGACCGCCGCCGCCATCAAGTCGTCTGCTGCCGCCGCTGCTCTCGCCACCGGCGTTGCATCGACTTCTGCCTCTGCAGACGCCTCTGGCCGTCCTGCTGCCGGCGCGTCGTCTTCCGCATCGCCGTCGCAGTTGGATGCCCAGCTTGCACCACCACCCCAGCGCCACTCGCCTCTGCCGACCACCGCCAGCGACGCCGGCTACCCGGTCATGCCGCCGCCCATGCAGCCTGCTGCGGGTCCCTACGGTGCACCCCCGGCCGACTACTACCCCGTGCCCATGGGTGCTCCCCCCATGGGAGGACCTGCGGCGTACCCGCCGGCCGCCGGCTCCCCCTACTCTGGCTACGACGCGTACGACCCCAACGCCCCCGTCGGATACTACCCGCCCGGCCCGCCGCTCCCGCCGCCCGGCCCGTACGCCGGCTACCCGCCGCAGCAGATGGGCCCGCCGCCGCCCCAGATGCCCATGTACGACGCGTATGGCCAGCCGTACCCGCCTCCGCCGCAGCAGGGCGGCTATGCGCCGCAGCCGCAGTACCAGCCGTCGCCGCAGCAGCAGCAGCAGCAACCCAGATACTAATTGCACATCCCTGTCTACAGGCCAATCGCTCTCCCCGTGTACGCCCCCTGTCTCTGTGTGACATTCCAACGCGCTCTGCTCGCCATAAAAACTAGCTCACATTCGCCGTTTGCCGTTCATCTGCTTCACCACCGACATCGCAGATGCCGCCACCAATGGCTCTCGGCTTGGGGGCCGCTGCCCTCGGCGTGTTTG